TAAGTTCTTGGAAAGTTCCCTTACTCCTTTGAAGGCAGATTTTGACTCTAATGGAAGCCATCCAGGAGGGTTTTGACCATAACACTGAGATTTCTAAAGCTAAAGAGGCAATCGAAACAACTCAACAAAATCAAAGCTTTCCTTCGCCTGAAGATGGTATTCCCGAGGATGATGAACTTGCTCCTGGTGAAGCCAATATTCAAGCCTCTTCTTCTCAAGCTGATCCCTCTACCTCCGTCAATGATGCTCATGTTGCTGATGTTCCAGTGGATGATGCCTCCTAGTTTTTTCTGTTATTTGATGGTTTTGTTTAGAACTTGTTGATGGGAAGTCTTTTTTCTTCTTTTTGGAATAGTTATTGGTTTACCACTATCTTGTTTTGGGTTTTGATGGCAAATATATGCCTTATTTTTTTGCAAAGTTTAATACATAAATCTCGATTTTCCTTTCCGCCTATTTTGACGTTTGAGTTTTTGTTTCACTCTTTGACATTTAATTTTTGCATTAAAAATCCTTTAATATTCCGTGATTCTGATAGATACAGAATTTTAATGAAAGAGGGTTCTTTTATAAGTGACACTAATGAAGATGACGTCTCATCTTCATATTGGTGTAAATATATGAAAGAAGTAGAAAAAAGAAATAATTTGAGGAAGTTTTATGCTTTGAACTTTTAAATTTTGTACGTCATTATTTGTTTATGTAATACAACATTTACAACCCTTTCACAACTGCTTTATTTATAACAGGTTTCAGAATTCCGGGTTTGTAATCTCGTGACTAATTATTGACCTTAACCTAAAAACTCATAAGAACTTGGAGTATATCTTGTATCCATCTTGTGTCCTTTTTTTGAGTTTCTTCAAAGATTTTCGAAGGCTTGATTTTTGGCTCTTTGGCTGATTCAGGCTTGATTCTGACTTTTTTTCTTCTTTGCCTCTTCATATATATATATATATATATATATGTTAGAGCTTTAAAGTATGAAATCTCGAGCACTGGATTGTTTCTTCCTTTGGTCCATTCCCTAAAAAGAAAAATACACACGGGACTCAGAAGTATACATTTAGATGATGACTGCTTAACCTTTTTCTCCATCAGAAAGGGTTGTAACCTAGACCGGGAATAATTCAGCATTCCTCGTGTCTTTAGGGTCTAATATCATCATTTAGTAAGGGTTAGCTTTTTGTCTATCATCTAAAATGATTAGTATAATTGAAAAAGAAAAAACTAAATCATACGTGAATGATACCTGACCGAGGGTTCAAAACCTGTGCTTAGAAGTAATACTTCTTTAAATGAACAACATTCCAATTTTATGGGAGTACTTTGCCTTCATTGTTTCCCACTCGTATGCACCCTTTCCAGCAATGCTTCGAATTCTATAGGGTCCTTCCCAATTTGGACTCAACTTCCCTGCATTGGCTGCTTTTGTTGATTGAAAAACCTTTTTGAGGATGAAGTCCTCAATTTTGAAGTATCTAAGATGAGCTTTCCGGTTGCAGTATCGCTCAATAATTTGTTTCTGAGCTGACATTCTTATTAGATCCGCTTCTCTCCCTTCTTCAAGCAAATCTAGATTTATTCGCATCTCTTCCTCATTTGATTACTCAGTTGCTTGGGTATATCTTGCACTTGGTTCACCTATTTCAACTGGAATTAAGGCTTCAGCACCATAAACAAGTGAGAATGGAGTCTCTCCCATACCTGTTTTTGCTGTCGTTCGATAAGCCCATACACTCCTGGTAACACTTCAAGCCACTTACCTTTTGACTCCTCTAATCTTTCTTCAAGTTACTAATAATAACTTTTTTTGTCGATTCGGCTTGTCCATTAGTCACAGGGTGGTAAGGTGTTGAAGTTATCCTTTTAATCTGCCAACTCTGAAAAAAGTCTGTGATTTTCGTGCATATAAATTGCGGGCCATTGTCACACACGATTTTTTTTGGAACTCCGAACCGACATATAATGTTTCGCCAAATAAAGTCCCCGACTTCTTTCTCCTGCACCTGTTTGAAGGCACCTGCTTCTACCCACTTGGTAAAATAATCCATTAATACTAATAAAAACCCTACCTTTTCTTTAGCTTGTGGTAGTGGTCCCACGATATCCATCCCCCATTTCATAAAAGGTCATGGTGAAATAACCGGATGTAATAGCTCCACTGGGCGATGCATGTTATTGCCATATCGTTGGCATTTGTCACATTTGGACATAAAACTTTCCGTATCTTCTTCCATTTTTGCCCAATAATATCCTGCTCTAATTAGAGTTTTTACCAAGGATCTTCCTCATGCGTGATTTCCACAGCGTTCCTCATGTACTTCTCTCATCACATATTCTATTTGAGAAGGTCCGAGACATTTTGCTAAAGGCCCTCCAAACATCTTTCGATACAGGTTTCCACAAACCAAACAGTAACGGGTAGCTTTTCGTCGAAGTGACTGAGCCTTTTTCTTGTCTTCAGGTAGAATTTCGTATTGCAGAAAATTAACAAATTTGTTTCTCCAATCCCAAGTTAAATTATTGAATTTACCTTATTTTTATCTTGATTGAGTTCCGAATGAAACAAATGAATTACGGTAGCATTTCCTCATTCATTACTTCTGCGACAAATGCGAGATTAGCCAGTATGTCTGCTTCCGCATTTTCGTCCCTCGGCATTTGCACGATTTTCCACGATTGGAATTGTCTGATTAATTCCCCTGCCTTTTTCAAATATTGTTGCATCTGCACCTCTCTAGCTATATAAGTCCTATGCATTTGATTAACTACCAGTTGCGAATCACTTTTGATTATAATATACTCTTTTTTGAGTTCCCATGACAATTCCAGATCTACAATTATAGCCTCGTATTTTGCTTCATTGTTCGTAATGAGATGACACTTTATTGCTTGCCTTATGGTTTCTCCTGAAGGTGGGATTAGAACAATACCTAAACCCGCTCCTTTAACATTCAAGGAGCCATCAGTAAATAGGCTCCAAGTAATCGGATTAGATCCGGTGAATATGTGCAGTTCTTTTTTTGTTGCAGGAACTATCCCTGCGCTGAAATCTACCACAAAATCTGCTAAAACTTGAGATTTTATTATAGTTCTAGGTTGGTATACAATATCATATTCACTGAGTTCTATAGCCCATTTGCCTAACCTACCTGACAGTTCTTGCTTATGCAATATATTCCTTAAGGGATAAACGGTCACTACAGAGATAGGGTGATATTGAAATAAGGCCTCAACTTTCTAGATGCCATAATTAATGCTAAAGCAAGTTTTTATAAGTGAGGATATCGAGTTTCAACGTCCAATAAAGATTTGCTAACATAAAAAATTGGAGATTGTTTACCTTTGTCTTCACGAACCAATACTGCACTTACCACCATTTCTAATACAGCGAGATAAATGAGTAGCCTTTATCCATCCTTCGGTTTAGCCAGTAGCGGTGCATTTGACAAGTATGCTTTTAGATTTTTGAGTTCTTGTCGACATTCATCAGTCCACTCAAATTGATTTTGCCTTTTCAACACTGAAAAGAACTTAAAACTTTTCTCGAGGATTTGGAAATAAATCTTCCCAAAGCTCCTATCCTACCTGTCAACCTCTGCACTTCCTTTTTGCTCATGAGTATGTTTGGTATCTCCTCAATGGCTTTGATCTGTGCAGGGTTTATTTCAATACCCCGGTTAGAAACAAGAAAACCTAAAACTTACCTGACGCCACACCAAAGGCACATTTTTCAGGATTTAACTTCATATGAACTTGCGGAGAATCTGAAAAGTATCTGACAACTGTTGGATATGATCTCCCGCCTGTGCCAACTTGACTAGCATGTCATCGATGTAGACTTCCATAGTCTTTCCCTTGTGTTCTTTAAACATTTTTGTTACCAATCTTTGGTACGTGGCTCCAGTATTGTTTATTCCGAAATGCATTACTTTATAACAGTAAGTCCCCCTGTCTGTGATAAAGATAGTTTTTTCCTCATCTAAAGGGTCCATCTTTATCTGATTATATTCTGAATAGGCATCTAAAAAACTCAACAACTCATGGCCTGCAGTAGAACCAATTAGTTGATCTATGTGCGGTAAAGAGAGTAAATCTTTAGGACAAACTTTATTTAAGTCAGTATAATCTACACAAACTCGCCATTTTCCATTCTTTTTTGATACTACTACAGTATTAGCTAGCCAGTTAAGATATTTTACCTATCGTATAGACCCAATTTTTTTAAAATAATTATACCTCATCCTGGATCACATGATTTTTGAAGGATCCTTGCTTCCTTTTCTTCTGTTTGACATGTGGATACGATGGATCTTCATTCAGCTTGTGGGTCATCACCTCCGGTGGTATACCTATCATATTTGAATGCGACCAAGCAAGGCAATCTGCATTAGCTAGTAAAAATTTGACAAGTTTACCTTTCATTCCGGTGCTTAGCTTCATTCAAATATAAACTTTTCTATCTAGCCACTGCTCGGAAAGTGTGATAGCCTCCAGTTCTTCAATTATTGTTTTGATATTTTCATTCTCTTCTGGCTCTTGAATGACATTAGGTCTTGAATTTACGTCCATTAATCCATTTTCAACTGAGGTTTGTGTTGTTATATCCTCAACTGAATTCTATAGTTTCTATTTCTTATTTGAATCATCGTTCGCTATGCTCGAATTCACAACTGAATTGATACTTTTAGAAGCTTGCTGATCCCCACGGATTTGTCGAATCCCCCATTGCGAAGGAGCCTTAATAACTTGATATAAAGTAGATGGTACAACATCCATATCATGAATCCAAGGCCTGCCAAGAATCATGTTATAAGCCATGTCCGTATCTATCACCTGGAATTTCGTATCCTTGACAACTCCTTCTGAAAATGTAGTAAGCACTATTTTCCCTTTTGTGACAACATTTGAATTGTCGAATCCAAATAAGGTGCGTGCTTTGGGCACCATCTTGTCATCAGCTTGCATATCGTTTACCACCCTCAGAAGAATGATATTTAAGGAGCTACCTGGATCAATCAAAACTCGTTTCACATTAATATCATGTACAAGTAAAGATATTACCACTGCATCGTTGTGAGGGATTATCACGCCATCTGCATCTACATCATCAAACATTATACTATCTTTTTCCAAAACTTGGCGAACTCGCTTCCCATGCGTAACCATGACTTTTGATGTCTTTTTTGCAGCTGTATACATCACACCATTGACCTCTTCTCCCTCGTTTATCACATTAACTGTCCTTTTTGGTGATGAAGGTTTTGGAGGCTCTTGTCTATTCTTCATATATGATTGCTTACCTTTCTCACTGAACAAGTCAGTTAAATAACCTTGTTTTAACAAATGCTCTACCTCACCTTGTAACAATCTGCAATCTGCTATTTTATGGCTGTGGTCATTATGAAACTCGCACCACAAATCTAGATTTCTTCTGTTAGGGTTCGATCTCATTTCTTTTGGCCACCGCACAGTATATCCCATAATTTTTAAAGCAGCTACCAACTCAGAAGTGCTAATATTAAAACTCTAATCACCAATCTATGCATTTGTATTACTATCTCGCGCATCTCGTTCTTTTCCGAACTTGGATGATGAACCCACATCTCTATCCCTTGATCTAGACCATACCTTGGGTTTTCTTGTTTAGAGCATGAATCTCATCCTGCTGGTCCCATGTAATGTTCATACCTGTTCTTACTGGACCTTTTTTCGGATTCTATCGTCTCGAACTTGTTCTTTCATGACCCCTTGCCCGAGTGATTATGTCTTCTTCTATCCGCAACTTCGTGTTGTACCTATTGTATACATCATTCCATGTTGTAGTATGGAATTCTCGTAAGCTTTCCTTGAGTCTCCTCGTGGCTTCTGAGATTTTTTTCATTTAAGTTACTTGCAAACGCCATATCCGCCTAATTATCAGGTACTAGCGGTAACATCATCCTTTCGCGTTAAAATCTATCCATAAATTTCCTGAGTAGCTCTGTATCTCCTTGTTTTATTTGAAGTTGTCTTCCATCCTTTTCTCGACCTTTTGAGCTCCCGAATGTGCTTTTATAAATGAATCTGAAAGCTCAGCAAAAGAATCAATAGAGTTTTCTGGTATGAGAGAATACCATGTTAGTGCTCCTTTCGTGAGTGTTTCGCCAATTTTTTTACCAGCATTGATGCAATTTCTTGCTTGGTTAAATCATTGCCTTTCACGCCATTGTAAACGCCGTTGCATGATCTCGTAGGTCGGTTGTTCCATCATACTTTGGAATATCAGGCATTTTAAACTTCTTTGGAATTGGCAAAGGTGATGCACTTGGCTTCCAGGGCTGTTGTGAATATTTATCAATATCCACTCCTTTAATTTCGGGTAGCACGCCAGGTATTTGTTCTATGCGATCATTCTTCTCCTTCAGCTACTTCTGCAAAGTTAGTACCAAACTTTGTAAATCTAAATAATTTGGTGTACCTGACCTTTCATCATGAGATTCACTGGAAGTTCCTCCGCTTCCTGAATTAGCAAGTCCCGAGCGTGGGTTTTCTATAGTAGCGGTATTATTTGGAGGAGGAGTTGGTGGCGCAGTTGACAATCCACTAACAAAAGCTTGAAGGGTGTTGTTGACGTATTCTACAATTAGTTGTTTTAATGCGTCCTTGGCAGTTTGCTCGTCCCCTTGTTGATCATTCGTATGTGATGTTGATCTTTGAGGTGTCCCCTCTCGGGACTTTCGAGGAGAATCTTGTGGTAAAGGGATTGGTGGTGTCCCTCCCTCCTGTTGGTTCAGTTGGTTATTGTCGTTGGCAGTTGACATGATTGCTTGACAGAAAAGTGGATTTGGAAAGTGAAAAGATTATTAGATTTTCGGTAACAGAACCAATTTGTTTAACCAAAAATATGTCTTTTGATCAAAATCTAATTTTAGAAGAAAATATGTTACTGATAACCAAGTTTTACTTCACCCTCTCAACAATATCAAAGGAAAATAATAAGAACAACTAAGGAAATAATTGATTGCAAAGTCAAGGTAGAGAATTTCGAGAAAGCAGAAAAGTTAAGAGTATATTTCAATATTATCTCCGATTTGTCTTTATAAATATAATTTTGTGCCCTTATATAGGAATATACAATAGTAACAACCCCCCCCCCCCCTAATTGGGCATTAATGATATTGATTGCCCATTATTTTGGACATCTATAATTGACATATTTATTGCTATAAATGCCTCATATCTGTTTCGATTCTCCTTCATTATTTCCTTCCGGTTCATGTATATTTCCTTCATTATGCATTTTTATGGTACTAATATATCGGCTTCTGTTGCTTTATGAGTCGAGGGTCTCCTGGAAACAGCCTCTCTACCCTTCGGGGTAGGGGTAAGGTCTGCGTACATATTACCCTCCCCAGACCCCACGTGTGGGATTATACTGGATTGTTGTTGTTGTTGTTGTCATGTATATTTCCTCTTTTTATTATTTATTCATTCCTTGCCAACTGTTAAGCCCGATACCGTCTTGTGGATATTTCTTTCGGTGCCTTTTCTTCCCTAACAATTAAGATAATCACGTGTTGCTATATAATTGTCCCACACATCATGCTATGTCAACAGTCTAGTACTTCACGTGTAACGCTCTTTCACCACCAATACAAGAATCTATTATCCTTTTTTGATCTCAACTGAAGAGAAGTATAAAGAAGAGGTGATGGGTTTGAAAACTTTTTCGTTAGTATCTTAATTATTTCCATTAATTTATGACTTTTAAATAGATTCCAAAAGGAGTACAAACATTTAATTTTGATCCGATGGAAAGTTACAGGGTAAATTCTAGCCATCAATTTCCTTAGGTATATAGTAAAAAAGATGAGAATTCCACTATACAAATTAGGAAGGGAACTATAACATGTCAAACATTCTGAGAGATACTTACTTTGGAAAGATTGGTTTGACTTGCTACTTCATTGCTATTGCATGCATTTAAGAAGGCAGAAAACTAATTAATGTCACAACACATTGATGACATCGTTGGAACAAAGTATAAATATTCGGCAGATGATACAGAGTAAAATTTTTGTATTCCGATCCTATTAGTTTTGTCTTCTTATTCTACTTGTTAATGTTTTCTTTTCTTTTTCTCTTTCATTATGATGTTAAAGAATGAGACAAACATAATTTCTTTTGTGATATCGAAATTTGCACTATTAAATTGAATAATTAAATAATAATTTTCTTTGGCTTCAAACGATAATAGGCGAAATACATAAATGATCCCTTTAAGTTGTCCTCAACGATCAGACAGATATCTTGTAAACATCTGACCAAGTCAGTCACCTTGTGTGTGATACACTTGTTGTTGACATGTCAAATGAGCCAATAAAGTAACGACACATGTAATTTTAAACAAAAATATTGTCACATGTAATTAAAAATCCAGAAAAAACTAAGAAATAATTTTCCCCCTTTTTCACAAAAGCTTCATCTTCCATGAAAAAGAAAAGTTCATTCTCTTCCCCATCCCTCATCCTGATAATCCTTCTCCATTTCTTCTCTCAGTTTTTCTTCTTCTACATGTTCCCAATGCTTTCATAACAACCGTGTGGAGACAAAAACCTCAAGTATTGTCTCTGACACTTTTGGTTGAGAAGTATCAGCAAGGAGCTATTGCTGTCTTCTCGAATAACAAAAGCAGAAACCCAAAGTTAAGATCAATGATGATATATCCATATCCATTCAAAGCTCTACCTCGGGTCAATTAAACGGATCTTCAATATCCATTTTGCTTCCTATGGACCCTTTTATCTGGGTCGGTTCACCAATTAAACAAAATTTTCTCCAATTTCAATAACAATCAGAGTTTTAATTATTGGACATGATGAAATAGGGTAAAATTCACTTATTTTTTACTGGTTATTGTTGGTCAACCTTGGGCTTTGCTAAACAATTGGTATTGTCGATACTAGAGGAAGGTTTGTTGGTGGAAGAAATTTGGGGGGG